ATGGAATCTTCGTTTCCACAGAGATCATCTTGCTCAGGGGTAAAGCAAAGGGCCAGGCTTCCCCTACAGTGTCTCAACAGCCTCTGCACCACGTGTGCTTCCTGAGTCACAAAGCTGCATCTCCCTCTCCTCATCTCTTCCTGCTGGGTCCTCTACAGTCTGTGACTGTGTTTTCATTTCATTTATGGTGTCTTTCATTGTACACATATTTTTAATTTTTATGAACTCAAATCTGTGTATCTTTTCTTTTTTCATGGCTTCCAAGTTTTGTGGCTTGCTCACCCTAGAATTACAAAAATATACTTTCATAAATTTATCCTTTAAATTTTTCACATAAAATTTTTTAAAATAATTTCTTTCACTTTTATTACAGTAAAGCCAAGGATGGATTAAAAAAATAACTGGCGGTGACGAATTTACACTGAGGAGCAGTAATTCCTGCTCTATTCTTCTCCAACCCTGGGTCTGCTCCTCAGAACAAACTCATTTAAAGTGTTTTTGTTATTGTGTTTTGTTTTGTTTCGTTTTTGAAACAGACTCTTGCTCTGTCACCCAGGCTGGAGTGCAATGGCACAACCTTAGCTCACTGCAACCTCCACCTCCCAAGTTCAAGCAAGTCTCATGGCTCAGCCTTCCGAGTAGCTGGGATTACAGATGTGAACCACCATGCCCAGCTAATTTTATTTATTTATTTATTTATTTATTTATTTTTGTAGAGATGGGGTTTCACCTTATTGGCCAGCTGGCCTCGAACTCCTGGCCTCAAGTGATCCGCCCGCCTCAGCCTCCGAAAGTGCTGGGATTACAGACATGAGCCACTGCGCCCGGCCTCCTTTTAGATCTTTTACTTGGTTTTGTTTTGTTTTGTTTTCCAGTAATATAGGTGTTCGGGGTCAGCTTCCTTTGCCCTTCTTCATCCATCACCACCTCCAGTGTCCTGAAATTTACCTTAGAAATCTGTGGTTCACAGGTCATGCTCCTAGACCCATTGAAGGAGGAAGAGGAATTAAACACATCCCATTAGTACATAATCTTGGAAGAGGAGCCTTCTGAATTTTACAATCAGGATTGGGGAAACCCTGTAAAGTACCTGCCTGGTGTTCCTTTCTTCCAGCCTCTTTGATTAAGTCACATCAAGATGCTAATGGCAAAGTTGTTTAATGGGTGCTTCACCAAGGCAGGTTAGGATTTCACTGGGATTCTTAAAATTTGAGGGTGCCTGTGATCGTCAAAATTTTTATTCATATAGTCCCTCATGAAATTTCTAAAACTCAGCTGGGCGCAGTGGCTCACGCCTGTAATCCCAGCACTCTGGGAGGCCGAGGCGGACTGATCACAAAGTCAGGAGTTTGAGACCAGCCTGGCCAAAATGGTGAAACCCTATCTCTACTAAAAATACAGAAATGTAGCCTGGCATGGTGGCACACGCCTGTAGTCCCAACTACTCGGGAGGCTGAGGCAGAAGAATTGCTCGAACCTAGAAGGCAGAGGTTGCAGTGAGCCAAGATTGCACCACTGCACTCCAGCCTGGGCGGCAAAGCAAGACTCCATCTAAAAAAGAAAAGAAAAGAAATTTCTAAAACTCTGTATTTCTTTGTTCATTTTAAGTTGACATCTATAACTTTCTATTACTTCAAATACCTGGAAAAAATATCACTTCCAGTGCATTGTAATAATGTATCAAGTAGAAGTGGCAAAAATCAGTGAAAACATTTATTTGATCTGAGTAAATGTTCAAGAAAATAGAAAGCATGAACTTACCTCTAATCTGTGTTCCCTTTACTTGAAAATTTAATGTTGATCTACCAGAGGTAAGGCGGAAATTGTCACGTCCATATTCCTTGCAATTATTCAAAATATGCATCTGAGACCAGAACAAGACACAGGTGAAGAAGGGTGTTCACTAGGCCCCTTCTGCCAATACAGAAGGTGACAATGCAGTGGAGTCCTTTCATAGCAAGTTCTGCCTGCATGATTTCCAAAGCTTGAGTATTCCAAATCTAAGGTGAATAGGATAGTATCCACTAAGCCCTGCCAAAAACTTGTTGCTGAGATGAAGGAAGTCTCGCTGCAGTCAGTATTTCTCACCCACACACTTTGCTCTCTTTCTGGCTGGTATGGGAAGAATGGTGTCTTTTTTTTTTTTTTTTTTTTTTTTTGAGACAGAGTCTCAAAAAACTCAGACTGGATTGTAGTGGTGCTATCTCAGCTCACTGCAACCCCTGACTCCCAAGTTCAAGTGATTCTCCTGCCTCAGCCTCCCAAGTAGCTGGGATTACAGGTGCCCGCCACCATGCCTGGCTAATTTTTGTATTTTTAGTAGAGACAGGGTTTCACCATATTGGCCAGGTTGGTCTTGAACTCCTGACCTTGTGATCCACCCACCTCAGCTTCCCAAAGTGCTGGGATTACAGGCGTGAGCCACTGTGCCCGGCTGGCGTCTTTGATGATAGGTAGGAAGTAGAAGACGCAAGTTTATTAAATAAAAGCTGCCGTCATTCCTGCCACCCCACTACAATACATCTATTTCTTTTGTTGTTTTTGTTTTGTTTTGTTTTTTTGTTTCTGGTTTTGTTGTTGTTGTTTGTTTGTTTGTTTTTTGTTTTTCTTTTTGACAGAGTCTCACTCTGTCCCCCAGGCTGGAGTGCAATGGCACAATCTTGGCTCACTGCATCTTCCGCCTCCTAGGTTCAAGTGATTCTCTTGTTTCAGCCTCCTGAGTAGCTGGGATTACAGGCTCCTGCCACCACACCTGGCTAATTTTTGTATTTTTAGTAGAGATGGGGTTTTGCCATGTTGTCCAGGCTGGTCTTGAACTCCTGACCTCAGGGGATCCACCTGCCTCTGCTTCCCAAAGTGCTGGGATTACAGGCGTCAGCCACCATGCCCGGCAATACATGTATTTCTAATGCCATGTATCTACTTAATAGTAATATAGGCAAGATAGGAAGGACACATTGGCCCGATCTTGGGCTTATATTGTCTTGATTTAAGGAGGCCAAATTGATAAAAGCACCAGTATTTCAAATGGTCCCTTTATTTGACACTCTGAAGTTTTTTTTACTTTCTAGAATGTTGTACCACAGTAAGATTCAGGTTGGGTGAGAGGTAAGCCTTTCTTTTTACATGAGGTTAAGGCCAGGATCCTTCTCACTGCAAGTTAAGTTTTAGGAAAGAATACATAACAAGACTGAAAACCTAAAAATTGATTCTCTTAAAAACTATCAGTGCCCACATACCCTGTGAAAATCCCCAACTGTTCTCAGGAGTACGAGTACTTCAGTTTGAAGAGCTTGCCTCAGCCCAAGTGAATGCATCTTGTGGCAGGGAAGTGCATGCATTGTGGGGTGCCAGTAGTAGTGACGCTTTAGAAGTGGACCTATTTAGAAGTGGAAAACACCTGTATTCTTCCTCTCTCTTTCTTTAGGATGATTTTCACTCTCCCAACCCAATGGACACCCAGAAGCCTCATGCTTTCATCCTTCCTAGTCATCTTTTTATTTAAAGGGATCTCAGTGTCTTCAGTAACACTGAAAAATATAGGATGGCTAGCAGCTCAAATTGCTATTTTTGCTAGGAAAGTTTGTTTTCTAATGGCCTTAAGTCAATATTCAGACACTTCTATACCATATTCACAATGTTTGTCACGTTCATATACCATGTCTACTATCATTTTCTTATTTCTCTCTAAATGTACTCTTCATTCTACATGCTTAATTTAGAAAAAAACTATTGTATCTCCACCACACTGAATATCCCTGCTGTCTTAGCTTGCATTCTCCAGAAAGCCAAGCTGGAGATAAAGGCTTGAGTGAAGTAATTTATTTGGAAACATTGGTCCAGCAATGCAGGCCTGGGAAGGAGGCACAGCCAGTACAAGGAAGCCTCACAGAGGTGACCACTGTTAGGGGCCACTGGTACTTGATCCCACAGGGACTTTCTGGGGAGCCTCACGCAATGTCCGTCAGAACTGTTCACCTGGGAGGCAAAGGAGGAAGCAGTTATCCACCAGCTTCCAACCCTCTTGGTCAAGAGCAGCTCCATGGGCATCGACTTCCCTGTATTCCTGGATTGCACATGCTTGAGTGAACTTTCAAAGAATGCCAAAACAGCAGAGAAGCCCTGGGTGAGGACAGAATGGAATCAAAGTGTGGATCCTGCAGGCCCATGCAAGGTGCTGTCAGGTTCCACCTGTGCAAACAAGTACACTGGTCCAGCATGGGTCAGCTGCTCACTCACAGGGGCTCCAGAATCCTGCAAAGGGGCACACAGGGGTGGGTGGCAAGCTAGTTGGAAATGGGAGTGATGGGCATGACTAAAGTCTTCCTCACCCCACCTGAGATGCACTCAACTGTGGCTAGGGTGACCAGAATTCACTGTCCAGCGTCGCTGGCAAGAGCCCACTCTCTGAAGATGGTGGGATGCAGAGGTGGGAGTACAGTTGAGGGTGATCTTGTGAGCTGAGCACTCTCCCACAAGTGTCCCCTACATATGAGGTCGACAGCTTATTCCTGCAGGGACTCAGGAGTAACTCTGGGTGCTAAAACAAAACTTGAGACCAGCACAGGAACAGCCAGCCCATGAAGTTCGCCTTCCATCACACAGCAAGGCTAGCGGATGCCCCTCCCTCTTCTTGGGCATCATTCTTCACTTCCCCTACGCCGCCGGGTGCTCTTGGTGTTTTGTGTTTGTTAGTCTGTGCACGGTGGTGAGGGAGGCTGCTGTGTGATTTGCCCCAGACACAGCCTCTGCAAAAGCAACTGGGAGAAGTCAGCAGCAGAGGCAGCTTCCTCTGCTGTCCAATGAAACTGCTTGCGCTGACAAAGTACTTCTGAGTCAATTCAAATCTTCTGTCAAGCAACTGCAGGCTAGAAGGGGAAATGCCACCTCTCTGATAGACGACCCACCCGAAGAAAACGGAGCGACTCATCATTGCTTTATAGACTACAAGAAGAGAACATCTCAGAAGTGGAGTCTCATCTGAAATCAAAGGAGTTAAAGAAAAAGTGGAATTTTTCTTCAGCAAGTAAGTACATTTACTATTATCTTACTGTGGGATAGCTTGGTAGAACTAGTTACCAGCAACCTCACTGCTTTTTAAACAAACACACCGCCACTACCACCTCCTGGATCCATGCTTGCCCTCAAAGGAAACTTCAGGGTCTCATTCCCACAGGAGGCTGTGGCTTCCCAACACATTTGGAGCATCATAGTCAGCATTGTGGCCCTTTATTTTAAAATGTCCTAGATGCTAGCAAATATTATTTTTGTGGGCTGTATTTGAATTTCTCAAGCCAGTAAAATTCTAGTGAAAGTCGGAAAATCGCTTGAGCTTGGGAGGTTGAGACTGTGGTGAGCTATGGTCACGCCACTGCACTCCAGCCTGTGCGACAGAGCAAGATTCTATCTTAAGAAAAACAAATTCTGGTGAATAAGTCTCTTTTAGCTAATCCTGCCTAAAATGCATGATGACTAACAAAACAATATGGCGTGACGAACTCTAGCTTCAGCGTGGTCTCCAAAGAGGACACTCAAGTATTCTCCGAGCAGCACGGGGCTGTGTCCTAGTAGCAGCCTGAAGGCGTGACAGTGGAGCACAGTGTTCATTTTCATTTCTCAATTTTGACATATTTACTGGAAAAATTAAACCCTAGCCGTCTCACATGAGATCACATAATTTTTTTTTTTCTCTGTCACCCAGGCTGGAGTGCAGTGGTGCAATCTTGGCTCACTGTAGCCTCTACCTCCTGGGTTCAAGCAATTCTCGTGCCTCAGCCTCCCAAGTGGCTGGGATTACAGGCACCCACTACCGCACCTGGCTAATTTTTGTATTTTTGGTAGAAATAGGGTTTTGCCACATTGGCCAGGCTGGTCTGGAACTCCTGACCTCAAGTGATCCGCCCACCTCAGCCTCCCAAAGTGCTGGGATTACAGGCATGAGCCACCACGCCTGGCCCTGGAGTACATAATTTTAATAAGTAACGTGTGCAGTGTCTTTTTTCCCTCCCTTTTTATGGATAGACTTTTCTGGTTATTGAGATCTCATACCCCTTTATGATATGTTATTTGAGCAGCGGGTTTAAAGAATTGAGATACCTGTTTTCTTATGTTAATATGTCAAGAAAGAAGTTATTTCATAACTTAGGTCCTGCCTTGGACAAAATACACCCTTACTGTCTGCTCTGTGTTTCTTGGTATGTTCAGAAGAGAATTTGAACTTTTGGAGGCTGGCTGGCAGATATGGAGGGTCCTTAGAGCTCTCTGTGTTTCTAACCAAATCTTAATCCCGCCTATTAAGTAGAAAGCCTTTACATGGAAGGGCTGTGGTTGGTTCTTGGAACTGATCCCTTCACAGAATTTCAACTTTCTTTCCCTCAGGGTCATGCCCTGCTTTAGCGGTTGCTTAGGTTAAACTCTCTAACTAATTTTAGCAGGCAACTCTGGAGTTTTACAACTCACAGTAGGCACACCTTCCTTCCTGGATGACTTTTATTTGTTCCTTTTTCAGGTTGTGAAACTAAATCCACAACCTTTGGAGACCCAGGAACACCCTCCAATCTCTGTGTGCTTTGTAAACGTCACTGGAGAATCCTCTGGGCTGGCAATTGGATTGTCACCACCCTGCCTGTTTTGTGCCTGGGAAGTGCCCTGGTCTTGCTTGGCTCCAAATTGTTGGCTTTCACTTTTGACCCGAAGCATCTGAAGTCATGGGCCACACATGGAGGCAGGGAATATCACCATCCAAGTGTCCATACCTCAAGTTCTTTCAGCTCTTGGTGCTGGCTTGTCTTTCTCATTTCTGTTCAGGTAAGCAACTTTCAGGAACTTAACGGAGTCAACTGCTAGAGGGTTAAGAGAAAGGAGGTGGGGTTCTCTGAGCTGCTCTCTTCTATTATCCTATCAGCTGGAAGGAACCTTCAGGGTGTTTTCAGAACATTTTAAAGATGAGAAGACTGTGGTTCAAAGAGGTTAAAGGACATTCCTATCATCACACAGCAAGTTAGCAACCAAGTTAACTCAAGAACGTACAAGGAAGCATGGAAGGGACGGTGTTATTTTAACAAAACCATAGAGCCGATTCATAATGGTCTCTTTCATTAGATGAGTATTAGATGCTCACGTACATTTTGTGATGTGCTAATACCAGCCTCAGAGTCCATTCCCAAACTATATTTTCATGATACAGCTCAGTGAAAGTGTCCTGCTTCTAAAGTTGAACAATGGTGATCTTCTTTCCAATTTGAAGGCGGGAGAGTAGTTGAGGACAATTCCTCTTAATGACGTTAATCTTCTTAACCTTCTTAAGTTCCTCTTAATACATTAATCTTATTTGTTCTGTTTTGGATGCTGAGATCTTTTTTCAACATTGGCATCTGACTTTAAGTGGTATCAGATTTAACATAAAATTATATTTTTAGTTGTTTCTAATCTGCCACAGAGGTATTACATATATGTCCTGAAAGTAATAATTTGACTTCCAGAGGCTTTTGTTCCTGCTCAGGTGATCTTAAGAGTGCTGAACTTTTGGGACTGTCAAGAAGGGTGAGGCTTGTCCCTGCTGGCAGGATGGTTCTGATTTTTTTTTTTAAGTCAGAAAACAAAAGATCGGTTTTCTAGTGAGCAGCATACCTCCTGGTTTCCCACAAATCAAGAAGTTTGGGCTCCAGCATGATTTGCCAGTCTGCAAAGACCTGACTATTAAGGGTTCTTGTCTTAAAAACTTCTCACGTAAAGTACTGCCTAGAATATCAGAGGTGTGAGAGAGAGGTAGAGGGAAGGGAAGAGGAGTTGGGGGCACACAGATTACTTGACTGCAATGGTGGTCATTTAAAATTTTCTCTCCAGAGCTATTTTGCATTGTTTTCAGGACCAAGAGAACCATGGCTTACATTTCACAATTTACACCTCAGATTTTGTATATATTTGACAGTTACATTACATTTCCAACAGTTACAATTTCCTTCTGGGGAGCTGGGGAAGCATTCCCAAACTAGTCTTCTGGGGAGTACAGAGGAGTTTAAAATATTTAGAAGGAAATTTGTACAGGCTTCCCAGAAATAAGGGAGGTGGGAAGGGAGAGAGAATAGAAAGAGGGAGAATGATAAAAAAGTAAAAGAAGACATAAAATAAAAATTAAAACCCAAACTTTAGAAACTGTACCAGGAAAATTAGAGTCAGAGTTAAATGGAAAGAGATCTTTGAGCTAAAGAAAGATGTTTAGGAAAGCACCTTGTTCTCCAGCTATATCCTGATTTTACTGCTGCTGTGACTAAGTCAATGAACCACCTACTGTGTGCCAGGTGGGCCATAAAGTCAAGGCTAGGATTTCTGCACTCAAAGAGGTCTGCATATGTTAGTTGGGGGAATGCAAAGCTAACCCATGTAAAACAAGCAAAGAGCAATGAAATGCTTTGCCCTGATTGTAGGAGCCCAAGATCTGGGAAAGGGGGTACCAGACTGGGCTGCAGCAAGGAGGGCAGGCTTTACAGAGGCAGATGGATGATGGAGAGAGAATTCTGGTCAGGGCAACAGCCTGGACAAAGGCACAAAGGTAAGGATGAGGCCGGCACAGGTGTTCATTCTTTTGTTTAATCATTTATTAATTCAACAAACATCATCTACAAGCAAGAGACTTTTCTTGGTCCCGGGGACATGGCTCGGGCGTTTGTGAAATTTACTATCATTGGGAAGAGGGAAAGTAATCCAATAGCCACTCAAATGAATGTGTTTGTTTGTTGGCCAACAAACAAAGCCAAGTGCTTTGAAGGCAGGGCATAGGCACTGCCTGAGAAAGTGCTATCTTCCCCTGCCAGTGAGGAGTGGCAGTGAGCTGTGGGAGGAGCAGAGGAGGGACTGGCCCAGTGAGCAAAACCAGACCCTGCAGCACTTGTGGGCTGTAGTCACGAATCCGCATGTTATTCAGGAGGCTGGAAGGGCTTTACCCAGGGTAGTGGCGTGGTCTACCCCAGCTCTGTTCCCACATACCCGTAACCGGGGGGTTTTGCTAAATTGCAGTCTCTAGCGCAGGGAATTTTTTAGAGAAGTGAATCTATTTTGCATAATGCTGTAATGATAGATATAAGTTATTATAAATTTGTCCAAATCCATAGAATATGCAATACCAGGAGTGATCCCTATCGTGAACTCTGGATTGGGGCGGTAATGATGTGTTAATGTAGGTTCATTGATTGTAACAAGTGGACTGCTCTGGCGCCGGATGTAGACAGTGGTGGAAGCTGTGAATATGTGGGGAGGGAGTATATGGAAATCCTCTGTACTTTACACGCAATTTTTCGATGAATCTAAAGCAGCTCTAAAAGATAAAGTCTATCTAGTTTTTTAAATGCTGTTTCCACTTAGGTGGGTCTGGGATGGGCCTGAGATTCTGCATTTCTAAGAAGCACCTAGGTGATGCTGATGCTGCTCCGCATACACTTTGAGTTTCAGTAGTAAAGGTGTAAATAACTTCAAAAAGGAAAAAGTGTTACTGAAGAAGGGCTTGTAGGGCAGCCCCCATGACTGTGCAAAACCTATTAGGAGGTTATTTCAGTACTTACAGTAACTGATGATGTGTCTGATGAAAAGAATTGAGTCAGAGGGAAGTTGATGGAGAGTGTGTACCATGTAAAATTAGTGAAGACTGCCCAACGGGAGTGTAGGTGTGAGTTGTGCGTGGTCTGTGGGAGGCGAGATTGAGTGAATAAAGTGGAGTAGGATTATAGAGGGCTTTATTCAGGGCAGAGATTTGCCACACTAGGTCTTCCTCTCCTGCCCTGGGTCAGAAAGCTATACCATGGCAAAGGTGTTCCCCCTCTCCTCCTGCCCAGTCACTGATGCCCAGGGGAAGGGACCCCTCTTTTATGCACAGGGTGGAACCAGCCAGGCTCCTCTCCCGCTCTAGGTCGGCAGGCACTGTCTATGGGGCAGAAACGCCTGACTTTGTACTCCAGCAAAGTACAATAAGTGCTTTGTCAGTAAGTAAGTGGCAGTAAGGCAGAGGCTCTACCAGGGCAGCCCTCAGAAGGACCAATGTGGGCAGCTTTTCTTTCGGAGCCAGAGTCCTTTAAGAGAGGGTCAGGTCTAAGGAGAGGGGAAAGGCCTCCTGCAGGAGGAGGCAAGAGATGCAGGAAAAGCATTGCCTATAAGTTTATAGCCTGAGAACTCAGAGCTAGGAGAAAAGAGAATGCCCCAAAGTGCCACCATTCACAGAACACATCCTCCTCTCCCCGCAACACATACTGCTATGCTGCTGGCCCAGGGGTCCCATGACCAGTGATTGTTCCCATCATCACCCTGACAACTGTTGTTCAAGTCCCTGAGCATTTTAAGGATATAAATACTGTGTAGAAAGAGAAAAAGTAAGGATCAGATGGTACAGAGTATATGAGCGGGGTCTAAACAGGGGGAAAAGTCAGGAACAGTGTGAACACCAGGAGACACAGGTCTCAAGCCTGCGGCTGCCAGAGGCAGCTCTTCCTGTCTCCTTTGTGTGGCTAGCACCTAGCCCATGGCTGACACCAGCCCTGTCGGTGCTAGTTCACCTAATCAAACATTGAGAGGGGTCCAAGATGGTCACTCCTGTTGGAAGGCTGTGCACAAACCAGGAACGGTAAAATCTCCAGGTGGTGAGACAATAGGTGACTTTCACGCTTTTCTATATCTTCCATTCTTTCTAAGAATGTTTATTTTATAGTCAGGGAAAATGTTTATTTAAAAAGCACACTTGTGTTTACAGGGAGATCATGTATGCCCTGTCATTTGGTAAGTTTTAAGATGTTGTGTCAACTGCTTCTCTCCCTTCTCCACCAGCAGTGGCGATGCAGCTCCCTTTCTGACTGCTGCTGGGTAGAGGTGCTGGATGGGCTCCCCATGCCAGCTAGGGGCACTGAACTTACTTCAAGAATCAGCCAGTTACCATGGTGATGTGGTCCTGTGGGGGTGTGGTTCAGCAAAGCAGGCTGTTGTGCATGAGAAAGAACAGCCCCATTAAAAATCTGTAGAGCCTTCTACACTTAAGAAAGCACTTTACATCTGGTATCCTGTGATCACTGTGATAATTATGTGAAGCAGGGAAGATAGTTATCTTGGTCTGTTTTGTGCTACTATAACAGAATACCTGACACTGGGTAATTTAGAAAGAACAGAGATTTATTTCTTACTGTTCTGGAGGCTGGGAAGTCCAAGGTCAAGGGGCTCACATCTGATGAGGACCTTCTTGCTGTATCATCCCATGGCAGAGGATAAAAAGGCAGGAGAGCACGCACGAGACACAGAGTGGGAAGGAGGCCAAAACCATCCTTTATAAGGAAGCCGCTCCTGCTGTAGTGAACCCACTCCCAAGAAAATGGCATGAATCCATCCATGACGGCAGAGTCTCCATGACCTAGTCACCTTTTAGCAGTCCCACTTCTCAACACTGTTACACCCAGAATTAAATTTCCAACACCAAAACTTTAGGGGACACATTCAAATCATAGCAATAGTATTATGACTGTTTTACAGAGATGGAACCTGAAGCCCAAAGAGGTTACCCACCTTGCTCATGGTTATGATTCTAATACACAGTGGATGGAGCCAGACCTCATTTCCTCATGCCTAGACATGCATTCAGCAAGTATTTACTGAGCACCTACTATGGGCCAGGTCCCGTTCTAGACACTGCAGATATGGCAGTGAACAAAGGAGGAAGCCTCTGCTCCATAGATCCATACGTAATTATGTATCACATATACATGTAAATATACATCACAGTTGTAAAAATATATATCAGTTGGAGACAAGCCTGAAGAGAAACAAATCAGGCAAAG